TCTAAAGAGTAGCATCTTTCTGGCAAGGCTTGTTTTCTATGAGAACAGTGCAGAGTTTGGTTCACTTTCACACATTTTTCACTTTTGCTGTTACAGCAATCTCGTGCACCAATTTTGCCCGTCTGCTATCTCAGCCACACAGTCTTCAGCACCAGCTACAAATTTATTTTCCAAATTGACTACATTTCTGGTATATGTGGCCAGTTGGTAAGGACTTGTATTTTTCTGTCAGGTATCCTGTCCCCAGGCCCTGCTTCTCAGTTAAAAACAGCCCCACCCGTACACCCGAACTATCTGAAACTCAGAAGAGCAGCTGACACTGGAGATCAGCTGAGAACACAACTTTTTCATTTGCTTTTGTTCCGGTTTATTTACTGCCATTGAAGTTTTCAGTTTGTCACTTTAATGCCAATTTTCTTTGTGATTGTCCTTCTCTGTAAGCTACAAACAGCTATGTACATCTGGTTTGTGCTAACTCCAAGGTGAACCTACATGTTTTTCAGCAGTGATTTTAAAAGATTATTTTAAAGTAAATTTTATCTCCTTATTTTACAAAGATGAAGATCTTGAAGACATGGAAAAATCAATGACATTTGTCATTTACAACTTGTAAAATAACAAACTGCAAAATTTGAGCCCTTATTTTTCTCTCATGGGCTACCCACCTCACTGCCACTGACTGTCACAGTCCCTTCGAGGCTAGATTATTAAACCAGAGATATACTACTGCTATGCAAATGTTTTCCTGACTTGAGTTGTAAATAAAGTAGATCTAGTCTGATAAAAACTAAGGCCCCATCAATAACTTTAGGCAAAGCTCTGCTGCAAAACAACTGCAAAAACCAAAATGACTTCCCCACACCTATAAATAAACTAGTTTCCCACTTTGTTTCAAAAAGTACCACTTTCCTTTGCTCTTCAGTGGAGGTAACAAAAGATCCACTTCATCATTGTTTTGGTGGTGTATCCCATGCAAAAAGTCTAAATTATAAAACATTGAAAGAAAATGCTTTAACATTCAAGTTGATAAATGCATGTATGTAACTTACTGTTCTGTGAAAGATTATTCCTAACTTCCTGTTCCCTTATTGGGCTTCAAATGGAAATATTAGCTTGGGTCCTTTTTTTATAATGAGTTATCTAACTTCATTCTCCATTAATCAAACAGTATTACCTGTTTCCCAGTGATGTATGTATTATCAGTATTTTAAAGAGGGAGGAAAAAACCTGAATGGTTCCTTAGTAACTCTTTTTTAACTACAGTCTATCAAAAGGATTTCCTAGAAAAAGAGAAAGAAAGGAAATAAATGCAGAAAAAACAAAGCTCAGATTATCAGAATTTAAATCCAATAGCATCACATAGTAAGGGACACGACCTTCTCTTAAACTGTGTTTGTGAAGCACAATCTGATAATCCCCAGTATGAAAACTTACTGGATCTATTGTTATCAATGGAAGTAACCTCAGAGTTTAACACCTGTCCCATACTGGGCTGCGCAAAATTCATAATGCCGCAAATCTGCCATAGTCCTTACCAACAGGGAAGTTGAAGTGCTGCTGTTCAGCCTGCAAAATACAATTGCAATTCATTAGTGGAACAGTGATTCTTAGAGTCACTAATTACTCTATTAACCTTTTTGAAAAAAAAATACATTAAAGAAGTGTTGTTATACAAAATATTTCAACTAAAACCCTTCAGGAAATATAAAATTTCTTTTAGGTCAGAAAGGAAACTTAAAAGAAAGATTTGAAGAAAAAAGAGGCTGATAATCTATTTTCCAAAGAATGCAATAAGTTTTGATCATGCAGCCTGAAATTTTCATGTTCTATTGTGCAAATAAATTCTCCATCCACTTCCCATTTTCTTTAAAAAGCATCTAACATGGGCCCTGAATTGTGAATGAGAGTGATGCTAAATGATAAAATTGGAAATACAATTTCCTAAGCATTGTGTTATAGATGAAAAGCTCTAAAAATTTAACTCCATGCAGCCAACCATAGAATAAATAAATATTCAGCTTTTAAGGGTTAAAAAAAATAGATCTACACCATCCAGAATAAAAAAATTACAAGCAGAAGAGAGATTACAATAGCCCATATTTCTTAAGTCAAGTCACTCTATCAATAGTGAGTCATAACTGATTGCATCTATTTTCAGTTTTTAGATGCGAAGGTAACAATCTTTTAAGTGTCCATTGTTTGAAGTTCAAGAGAGGTTAAAGTAAATAAAATCTACAGCGAATATCACAAGGAAAGGATCCAAGGGAAAGGTTTGACCTCTCTTCATTCTGATTTAAGTTTGATGATGCACTATACATGATGAGGGTACCACTATCTCACAATCCATCGGAAGGTAATTCATGAGGTCAAAGAAAGGAAAAGGCCATGGAATCATGCATAATTTAGCAATTTCATCAATAAACAATTCTTCAGATAATAAAAAAGAGCACTGAGAGGCATGTGGAGAAGGAGAGGGGGAACAAAAATACCACCAACACCATCTTGCAAGCAAACCTCAACTTTGTGTGCATACAGGAAACCAGGTAAATAATTCCACAATTTGCATCAACCACCATGATAATAATGCATGGAAATACAGATATATATTTATACTTTGTACATTACACTTAATCCACTTGGGTAGGTGATGATACTGCAAAAATAAATAAGGTACATAAGAAAACAGAACAAGAGAGGAAAAGCAGTAAATAATTATTCAATCACCTTGGACTTCACAACCTTAGCTTTAGTAACATAACAGTCAACATTAAAGGCACAAAAACATGTAGCTACAAGGTCTAATCAGACCTGACACAGTTATTCTGAGTCTTGAATTCTGTAAGTCACAAAGAATTTCTCCCGGTTGTGTGTTGCCATCTACCAGATTATTTTTTTTATTGCAGTGTGGTAAGACTAATACTGCTAAAAGCTATTACTAGCAGTTCATGTTTCAAATTACTGGAGAATGTAAAAGCAGAAATTGTTTTTTGATCCTCCATGGTCACATATTTTAATTTAATTATAAGAAAAACTGTCATTCCAAATAGATTTCTAGTAAGTAAAGCTCTAATGTATAATAATAGAAAAAAATTAATATGCAACATCCTACAATATCTATAAATATTTTTATTTATTCTTTATATTTATAAACATTCATTTTTAAATATCAGAGACACTACTAGTTAATAAAAAATTAAATACAGAATTTTTTGAACTTGTTTTAACTTCTATACATGTTAACTATGATGTATCTGTTCCAGACAACCTTATCACCACAGGTCTTGCAAGTGCAAAGTCTCATCATGCTTGGTATTTAATAACAAGATAAGAGGACAGTCAAGGATAATAGGGGTGGAGTCAAATGTTTTACTGAGTTTACTGCTCTTAGCTGTGATACTCAGTTTCCTTTCCACAGTAATTTTTTTTTCAACCCAAATATAAGGTCACAAGCATAGGAATTTTTATGATGCAATGTGATATGACAAATGCAAAAATTTAGATAGCAGAAGAAAGCTAGGATTCCAGTCACTGTCTATCACATTGGCTAAATATATACTGCATAGGTATGCAAGAACAGACATTTTTACAGAAATAGCATATAGCAACGTGTTAAGTACTCAAGGAAAAAAGGTGCAATTCTTTGAGACAAAGCAATGACTTTTACTTTTATCTGAACGAAAAAAATCACTTAACTGTAGGAGTACCAAAAAATATCAGTTATAAATTTAAATGGACCAATGTAACTCTAACACTAATTTTATATAAATTGTATTATTTAATTTTTATTTTATTCTGGATTATTCTCTACTATCTAGGGATTATTCCACATACAGAACATTACCTAGTTACAGGCCCATATCAGTGTGTGTTAGGTCTATTGTTTTGTGAAGGTCCCTCTCACCTTTACCTTTTTCCCTTTTCCAAGAGGAAAATTGATAACATTTTACATCTAAGCCTAAATTGAAATTACACATAGAATTTCTGTACCACTGGGATTATGCACTGAAGTGCCATTTGTGCCTTTAGAAATCTTTCCACTGCCCGAAACTACAGGACTGCTTGCATGCTGAATAAGACCTCAATTTTCCTTCTTTTTCTCTTTTCTGAGACAAAGACATCTGTCTTGCTTCTTCCATTTGCTATCTTCACCATACTACACCACACTTAGGGGTTTGCTTTAGTATATGGGTAGGGTCTGACAATTTTTAAGTTTTGGTCACATAGATTCACATTTCAGTCTGCATGTTTAGGTGAGAGCCTTTTCTTAAGCCCATTTCTTACATCTTAGAACACAAAGCTATGATCGATTATTTATGCATTTTTACCTGCCTCTTCAAGCTGGCACAGTGTAATATATTTATGCAGAAGCAAATAACCTCAGCTTTTTACTCATAAACTGAATCATCTCCTTCTCAAATTTCAGTTCTCAGAGCAGTTCTCACACACTGCAACAGATAGACCTTGCACAACAGCTTTCTTCCACCATGTGACAGGGAATAGGAAATCTTATGATGAGGTATGGAAGGAAAATCAGGAAGAAAGCGAGACCTAGTTAGCAGTCACAAGCATCTGGTAGCCATCTTAGAATTTTTATTTCCCAGATGGTCCAGGCAACATACAATTAGCATCACTTAAGCATTTATATTTTGGGGGAAGGAGGAATATAGTGTTTTATCCTTCTATAACCAATATGGTTGAGGTCTTTTGCCTATAAATTCTTCTTCTCTGTCCTACATTTTGCACACAACACAATAAATTATCTCTTGACACTAATAAATAAAGAACAGTTTATAACTCAAAAATTAAATATGGTATTATAGTCTTAAATAACTCTGGCTAGTTTGGGATAATCAGGTTAATTATATTATTCAGGAGAATAAAATGTGTGTAGAATATATAAAAATGAAGATAAGTTATGTATTTTTCTTGCTGGCTGGACTTTTTTAGAGGTCTGAGAAATCTGTAAATAGAACCCAAGTGGTATGAGAACTGGTATCTTTTCACATGGAATCAGTCTGTTCTTGAATGCTGATTGCTTGTTTGTAGTCTTCTACAGCCTCCTTATGGAAACCCAATTTACCACGAATATCAGCTCTAAATTTATACATCAAGGCATCATTAGGCCGAATTGACAATGCTGTAAAAATGAGAAATAGAATGTTAGACTTTTTTTTTTTTAACATTATCACATGATTATAAAGAGAGGCATCATCCAAAAAGTTTCGTCAGTGCTCAAATTCTTCTACAGACATATTTTCACAAGATAAAACACATTATATACATTAACTTTAAAACAAGAGGTAGGCAACTTTGTTATTTGGATTTTTTTTTCTCTTTTTGATGCCATTGATGAATCCCACTTTAATTTTGCCCCGACAGCAGAAACTGTGCTTTCCTCTGAAACACAACCAAAATCTTACCACCATTCAACTTCTGGAACATGGCAGTGAGCCCAATATCTTATTCAGTTTCTCCATTGTATAAAAAGTATTTAGGTGCTTATTGGAAAGCTTAATCTGTTGTTTTAAAATTCTGCTTTAGAGAGAAAATTTTTGGAAAAAAGCCACTCAGCTCCCTGGTCTAGTCAATTTTCTACCATCTAACACTATGAAAACATTAGTCATGAGAGCCACGAAGTAAAAGCACCATTTTGACAAATTCCACTGTAAAAGCAAACTAATTTCTTTTAAATAAAAGAAAAAAACACCAAAGAGAATTATCCTTTCAGGAAAGATCATTACCAGTACAGTCAAGTGTTGTTAAATCAAAGTCAGACTTCTAAATTTTGTTTCAATAAAATTAATACAAACTAAACATAGTTTTAGTTACTGCAAGACGCTTTCCTGTGCATCCAGAGTTGCTGAATCTCATGTTAGGAGCAACGACAAAAGCAGCAATGGAGTAATATAGCTCAGCTTTTTGGAACCTGAACAAAATGTTTGGTTTTTTACTAAGATCAAGATGAAAGTTTGATAGAGTTCCTCTTCTCTATGGGCCATGTCTATTCCCAACAGAGAAGCTTAGGAAAGCCAAATACTGTTTCAAAGCTTGTTCTACAAACAACTCATTCATTAAATTTCATGTTTATATACAAAATAAGCTACCTGAATGACATTTTTAGGCACCTAGATATCTCAATTCATATACACACACACAAAAACTCAATTTTTTCAGACTTGGTAAGTGTAGTATTTTCCCATAGATTCTTGACACAATTTAATTTAGAATGGGACTGTTCAGCTGCTAATGACACACATTATATGAAACAGTTTATCTTCTCTTTTTAATCACATCATAATAGCTGATCAAATCAGGTAGAAAATATACTAGCAAAAATACACACATACTTTCTGAATCATGAAATACAGCCAAGTAATTTGTTATCATAGAATCATAGAATGTTTTGGGTTGGAAGGGACCTCAAAGGTCACCTAGTTCCTACTTCCCTGCCATGGGCAGGGACACCTTCCACTAGACACTAGTTGCTCAAAGCCCCATCCAACCTGGCCTTCAACACTTCCAGGGACGAGGCATCCACAATTTCCCTGGGCAACCTGTTCCTGTGCTTCACCACCCTCATAATGAACAATTTCTTCCTTATATCTAATCTAGATCTACCCTCTTTCTGTTCAAAGCCATTACCCATTGTCCCATCACTACACGCCCTTGTAAAAAGTCCCCGTCCAGCTTTCTTGTAGGCCCCCTTCAGGTACTGGAAGGCTGCCACAAGGTCTCCCCAAAGCCTTCTCTTCTCCAGGCTGAACAACCCCAACTCTCTCTGCCTGTCTTCACAGAAGAGGTGCTCCACAGCCCTCTGATCATCTTTGTGGCCCTCCTCTGGACCTGCTCCAACTGGTCCATGTCCTTCTTATGTTGGGGACTCCAGAGCTGAACTCAGTACTCCAGGTGGGGTCTCATGAGAGCGGAGTAGAGGGGGAAAGTCACCTCCCTTGACCTGCTGGTCACACTTCTTTTGATGCAGCCCAGGACACGGTTGGCTTTCTGGGCTGCAAGCACACATTGTCGGGTCACATTGAGCTTCTCATCAACCAACACTCCAGGGTCCTTCTCCTCAGGGCTGCTCTCAATCCATTCTCCACCCAGCCTGTATTTGTGCTTCAGATTGCCCCAACCCAGCTGCAGGACCTTGCAACTTGGCCTTGTTGAACTTCATGAGGTTTGCATGGGCCCACCTCTCAAGCCTGTCAAGGTCCCTCTGGATGGCATCCCTTCTCTCCAGCATGTCAACTGCACCACACAGCTTGCTGTCGTCAGCAAACTTGCTGAGGGTGCATTCAGTCCCACTGTCCATGTTACCAGATATGTTAATGTTGTGGTTTAACCCGGCTGGCAACTCAGCACCACGCAGCCGCTCACTCACTCCTCCCCTCCCTCAGTGGGATGGGGGAGAGAATCAGGAAGGAAAAAACAAAAGGTTAGAGCCAAGGGTTGAGATAAAGACAGTTTAATAAGAGAAAATAATAATAATAGTAATAATGAGAATGGTAACAGAATATACAGAATATACAAAATGAACGATGCACAACGCAATTGCTCACCACCTGCCAACTGATGCCCAGCCCGTCCCGAGCCGCGATCACTCCCCAAGCCACGATCAGTCTCCCCGCAACCTACCGACTGACCAACTCCCCCCAAGCATGACATTATATAGTATGGAATAGCTCTTTGGTCAGTTTGGGTCAGCTGTCCTGGCTGTGCTCCCTCCCAGCTTGTTATGCACCTGGCCGAGCAGGAGAAGATCAAAGAGTCCTTGAGTAGTCTGAGCACTACTTGGCAACAACTAAAAACATCAGTGTGTTATCAACACTCTTGTAGTACTGAATCCAAAACACAGCACTGTGCTAGCTTCTATAAAGAAAATGAACTCTATCCCAGCCAAAACCAGCACAGTTAAATAGCGCCAGTCCCAATACTGACCCCTGAGGAGCACCACTCGCCACTGGTCTCCGCTTGGACATCAAGCCATTGACCACACTTTGAGTGCGACCATCCAGCCAATTCCTTATCCACCAAGTGTTCCATCTGTCAAATCCATGTCTCTCCAATTTAGATACAAGGATATCATGTGGGACAGTGTCAAATGCTTTGCACCAGTCCAGGTAGATGACATCGGTTGCTCTTCCCTTAACCCACCAACGCTGTCACCCCATTGTAGAAGGCCACCAAATTTGTCAGGTATGATTCGCCCTTAGTGAAGCTGTGTTGGGTGTCATCAATCTCTCCTTATTTTCCATGTGCCTTAGCATAGTTTCCAGGAGGATCTATCTGCTCCATTCTCTTGCTGGGTACATGGGTGAGACTGACTGGCCTGTAGTTTTTCCCAGAAGACTGCCACGACTTCTCAAATATGATGGATAGTGGCTTAGCAACTTCATCTGCCAGTTCCCTCAGGACCCACAGATGCATTTCATCAGGTCCCATGGACTTGTGCACCTTCAGGTTCCTCTAGACAGTCTCAAACCTGATCTTCTCCTACAGTGGGCACTTCTTCATTCTCCCAGTCCCTGCCTTTTCCTTCTGCAACTTGAGTGATGTGGCTTGAGTACTTGCTGGTGAAGACTGAGGCAAAAAAGTCATTGAGTACCTCAGCCTTCACTGTATCCCAGGTAACAAGGTCTTGTGTTTCCTTCCAGAGAGGGCCCACATCTTCCCTAGTCTTCCTTTTATCACTGACATACCTATAGAAGCTTTTCTTTTTGCCCTTGATGTCCCTGGCCAGATTCAATTCTGTCAGGGCTTTAGCTTTCCTAACCTGCTCCCTGGCTGCTCAGAAAATTTCTCTGTATTCCTCCCAGGCTACCTGTCCTTCCTTGATTCCACCCTCTGTAGGCTTCCTTCTTGTGTTTGATTTGGTCTAGGAGCTCCTTGTTCATTCATGCAGGCCTGCTATCATTTTTGCCTAGCTTCCTCTTTTCTGGGATGCATTGCTCCTGAGCTTGGAGGAGGTGATCCATGAATATTAACCAGCTTTCTTGGGCAGGTCTTCCCTCCACGGCTTTATCCCATGGTACTCTACCAAGCAGATCTCTGAAGAGGCCAAAGTCCACTCTACTGAAGTCCAGGGTAGTGAGCTTGCTGTGCGCCCTCCTTGGTGCCCTAAGGATCTTGAACTCCACCACTTCATTGTCACTGCAGCCAAGGCTGCCCTTGAGCTTCACATTCCCCACCAGCCCCTTCTTGTTTGTGAGAACAAGGTGCAGCATAGCACCTCTCCCTGTTGGCTCCGCTATCACTTGGGGAAGGGAATTATCATTAATGCATTCCAGGAACCTTATGGATTGCTTGTCCCTCCATCAGGTAACGGGGCAGTTGAAGTGCCCTATGAGGACCAGGCTTGTGAACATGAGGCTGCTCCTATCTGTCTAGAGGGCCTCATCTGCTCAGTCTTCCTGACTGGGTGGCCTGTAGCAGACCCCCACTATAAAGTCACCTGTCCCTACCCTCCCTTTAATCCTGACCTATAAGCTCTCAGTCAGCTCCTTGTCTATCCCCAGGCAGAGTTCCATGGACTCCAGCTGGTCATTGACGTAGAAGGCAACAACCCCCTCCTCATCTCCCCTGCCTGTCCTTCTTAAATCATAGAATCATGGAATGTTTTGGGTTGGAAGGGACCCCTAGAGATCATCTAGTCCAACTCCTCTGCAGTGAGCAGGGACACCGCTAACTAGATTAGGTTGCTCAGAGCCCCATCCAACCTGGTCTTGAATGTTTCCAGGGATAGAGTGCCTATATCCTTCCATTCTATACCATAATTGTCATCATAATTGTTAGTATACTACACCAAACATATCATGACAGGCAAATAAAGATTACCTGTTGAAATGTCTTTTTCTGCTAGTTCATATTGCTTCAATCCGTTATAGAAATTTGCCCTGTTAAAATACACTACTGCAGAGAATGGGCAGAGACAAATTGCCTTCTCAAAGTCTTCTTTTGCTTCTTCAATATTGTTTAGTAATGTATTTGTAATAGCACGATTCATAACAGCAGATTCATTTCTTGGGTCAAGTTGTAATACCTTGGAATAGTAGCAATAGGCCTACAAAACACATGAATTGGAGACAGGGTACACTTAAAATTTGAGAAAGTGGCTTACGTACAATTTGTAAATTCCAGTTTGTTTCTTTAAGCCACTAGCTTTCTTAAGTCTTTACTCCTTCTGTTCAGTGTTCTTTGTGCGCAGAAGAGAGACACACAGCACTAGCATGTTTATCCACAATCACCACCCAGACACCACCCAGACAGACTTTTGAACAATAACAGCTGTTTATGCTGGATTGTAATTATAGGAGAAGAAATAAGCTACACACTAAGGCCAATTTGAATTAACATAAAAAATACCTTATAATGCAACACCTATTCCTGAACTTCTTACTTCATAATTAGACAGCCTCTGTGATACAGTCACAGAAACACAGTAAATAAGAAGAACAGCCTATGCAAGACTGGTCATGGAAGAATGATACCAGATGCATAAGAAAAGAGATTACACGATCATAGAAGCAGCCATATGCAGGGCACTGATCTTGGACTCCTAAGGAATTTCTGATCCAAGTCTAACTAAGGCTGAAGAGCAACAAGGAAACTAACTCAGAGGAACATACAAGAACATGAATTTTTTTTCTTACATGATCTATTTCTTGTGCTGTATGAAGTACAATCTAGATTTAAAATCTTATGCCAAGCCTGTACACTATACATGATGAATTCCTTAATAAGTGAATTGCAAGCTGAAGTGTTTACAGCTGCAACTCTAGGAGAGAATTAATTCAAGTAGATGAAATGTGTTGAAGTATCCATGCTGATTCTTGGTTTCCACAGCTGCTGGACCACAAAGCTCTGATCAAATAAAAGCCTGAGCCTATGCCCAGGAAATACGACTAGAAGACCAAAGAAAAAAATCACTGCAGGGGCCTTGCCTTCAAGCAGATTTCAAATTCTCTCATAAGAGGGATTTCAGTACCCAACTCTTCTCTATTTGAAGATACCCACTGTATTTAAGCAGAATTAGGTGATTTTAAACTCCAAAGTTACTGTGGTATTGGGAGGAAGATCTGACTTCTTGATTAAATTTCATTAGCAGGAGATTCTTTTCATTCTCCTTGTCATGGTGCTACAGTGAATCTGTGCAAGTTATTTAATGGGAGTTAGGCTGAGCAGGAAGTTACTGAACATCAGTGGGATTTTGGTGTCATTTATTTACAAATTTTTGTGATGGGTATACTAGCTTTCATGAATTTTAGTTCATTCATATCAATGATAAAATTCATAGTAGTAGGGCAAGTATTTATTATTAATTACTACAGATTAATTCATCTCCTGTTAAAGGCCCATGAAATTCAATGTAAGAAAGCTTCATATTAGTTACAGTTAAAGACAGCTTTATCCCAACAGTATTTATTCGAGGAAAAAAGTTCTGAAGACAGTATAAAGACAGATTGTAAACTTACTTGTGAAAACTGTCGGTTATGGAAGTAGATATTTGCTGCATTGAAATAGGCTAATGCATAGTTTGGATCAACAGAAATTGCTTGTTGATAGTCCTTCATGGCACAGGGTAGATATCCCATTAACTGATTGATGACACCCCGATTTGTTAGCAGTGGAGCAGTAGTAGTGAGCTGAAAGAAAAATGTAGATGCATTCTTACTCAGGGAAAATTTACACTTCTACAGCAATTTATTCTGGTTTTCAAAAATACATTTACTTCAAAAAATCTAATTGTACCTTCTAATACAAATTAGCAACTACTAATGTACAGTATTGGCTGGCTTCATAGCCACAGATTGATTTTCAAAAAGTTAACATTTGTTTTCATTTAAGTTAACATCTACCTTTAGTGCAGCATTTGTGTCTTGAAATGCAGCAAAAGTTTCACCCATTTGAAGACAGACTGAAGCTCGTCCATCATATGCAACATGGCATTTTGGATCAATGCAAATGGCAACTGTAAATTGGCTCCATGCTCTCTGAAGCTTTCCAAGGGCCTAAAATGAATTGTAATGTGTCCGCAATAAGAAACATAAGAAATGCCAGACATACTAATGGTTCCAACTTAAATAACAGTAGAGAACAGAAGCATACTTGTATTTACACACACAGTTAACTAAATTACAGAAAAAATTAATTCAAAGATCTTGTTAATTTTGAAATATCTTGATTATGCAGTACTCATTGTCTTTTCAACTATGTGATGTAGCTGTCACATCTGTTTTAACAGCAAGTATTACCTCTTCTACATCATAGAATCACAGAATGGTTGAGTTTGGAAGGGATCTCTGGAGATCAAGGCCAACCCCCTGTTCAAAACAGGGTCAGCTGGACCAGGTTGCCCAGGACCATGTACAGTTACATTTTTAATATCTTCAAAAGGATGACTCTACAACCTCTGTGCACAATCTCTTCCAGTGTCTGATCACCCTCACAGTAAAAAAAAAAGTTTTCTGATGTTTAAATGGAATTTTCTATATTTCGGTTTATGCTCGTTGCCTCCTGTCCTGTCACTAGGCACCATTAAGAGCCTGGCTCCACTTTATTTATACTCCTTCATCAGATATTTATACTTATTTATAAGATTCCCCCATAAGCCTTCATCTCTGTTTCCCTTTTCCTTGTATGACAGATGCTTCAAGCCCCTAATCATTTTCACTGGACTCTCTGCAGTATGTTTATGTCTCTTGTATTGGAGAGCACAAAACACAGTACTCCAGATGTGGCCTCACCAGTACTGAGTAGAAGAGAAGGATCCTTGACCTTCTGGCAATGCTGCTCCTAAAATAGCCCAGGGTATCATTGGCCTTCTTTACTGCAAGGGCACATCACTGAGAACTTCAGCTTGTTCATCAGGACACCCAAGTCCTTTATGGCACTAATAATGACCCTTTGAGCCTGACAGTTCAACCAGTTTTCATTTCATCTCACTGTTCCCTTGTCTAGATCATACTTCACCAGGTTTTCTATGAAGACCTTAAAGACTACTGAAAGCCTTGCTAAAGTAGAGATAAACAATATTTACTGCTCCCCTCTCATTCACCAAACTAGTCATCTCATCATAGAAGGCATCAGGTTGATTAAGCATAGTTTCTCTTTCATAAATTCATACATAGACTGCTGCCAATCAGCTTGTTGTCCTTGATGTATTTAAAAATTGTTTCCAGAATTATTTGTTTCATCACCCTTCCAGGGACTGAAGAGAGGCTGACTTCCCTGTAGTTCCCCAGATCCAACTTTTTGCCATTCTTGAAGATAGAAGTGGCGTTCACTTTCTTTCAGTCTTCAGGAAACTCTACCATTTGCTATGATCTTTCAAAGATAATCAAGAGTGGCCTCACAGTGATGTTGACTAACTCCTCAGCACTTGTGGGTGTATTCCATTAGGTCCCATGGACTTGTGTATGTCCATTTTGTTTAAATGTTCCCTAACCTGATCCTGCTCCACCAAGTCTTCCTTGCTCAGGACTTTTTCAGTGGTCACAGGGACTCAGAATTCCTGTACACCAGTCCTACCAGTAAATACCAAGGTGAAGAAGGCACTGAGTACCTCTCCATGTCCTTTGTCACCACATCCCTTGTCACATTCAGCAGCAGGCCTATATTTTCCCTAATTTCCTTTTGCTGTTGATGTACTTGTATAAGCCTTTCTTGTTGACCTTCATGTCCCTCACCAGATTGAACTCTTGATGTACTATACATGAGCTTGTGACCTGAAGACATATATTGGACTTCACACAGCAACAGAATTAAACCACGAGGCTGTTCAGCAGAAGTACCTCCCCTGGGTGATCAAATGGAACTCTGGTATACTGTACCTTGCGAAGTACTTCACACAGTCAAGAAAGTGCTTAATTCTGGGCAAGTAGGCCACTTGGGACCACAGGCAAAATACAAACATTCTACCCAATATGCATATTAATTAAGCAAAGGTGGAAGGCAAATCATCTAGTTCCTCACATCAAAATACTTCTCCATGTGTTTATGCTTAAGCCCCAAAAGATATAATAAGGCTTAAAAGAAGGCATCTAGTGAGATTTAGGCCTCTCAGAAATTAAGCACCTGCCACTATGTGAACTTTCCAGGCTGCCTCCTGCACATAAGATGTCTAATTCCTACTCACATCTTAGTCCTACCCACTCAGCAACGTAGTCACCCCAGGCTTTTCTCTTGCACAGTACTTCCCAAAGCACTGTGGAAGCATTAGTTAGAATTTAAATGAATTGGCAAAGCTGTAAAAGGAAATTTGCGTGTCACCTATGTGAGACTACCTGACACAGGCTACTAACATTTACATTGGCAAGAAATAATTCACAACAAGGTTCACAACAACTGAAGACATTTCAGACAACTGGACAGAATAAAGCACAGTAACTAAATGACAGAAATTAGACAAAATCCTGTCATATCACATATGCTTTTGCTAATATAGAAATTCATTTTCGCTGTAGGCAAGTAGTTTCCAGAGATCATTATATATAAAGGCCTTTACCAAGGGATTTTAGCAGATTTACTAACAGTGTGGTTTGGATAATTAAGACATACAAGATTTTGTTTTACACTTATTTGTCACCACTTTGGCTGTTTTTAACTTCAGTAAACAGCTCATACACACAAAACATGCCAGTTCTTAATGTTAGTTTATCAGAGAATCACATATGCAAATCAAACAAGTGTAAGGTTACTTGATATTCCATTATTCAAGAGCAGAACTCCAAGAAGATTGGGCACAAAAGTGAAAAGAAAATAATGGTCTATCCATTTACCTAAAAAGAAAGAAAATGCCATAAAGCTTTTCTAAAGAACACGGGTTATTTTATGTTTATGATGATTATTTTATGTATTATATAAATGTATGCATATAAAATTGATGTTATTTTGTTTGATTAAACATAGCATTGACAATTAATTTTAGTGTGTTACCTGCAAATTGTATCCTAAGCAAATTCTGGCTTTTATACACTTTGGATTCAGGTGAATTGCTCTCAAGAAATCTTTCTGTGCTTGTTTACAACCAGCCTCACGTCTACTTTCCATGTACGAATTTCCTCGTCCAACATAGGCATCCACAGAAACAGGATCTAGTTTGAGAACCCGGTCAAATGATCTCACCGCTTCTTCAAACTCATGAAGTCTAACAATAGAGATATTAATGTTTACTGTTTAAAAATTCTATAAATAAAATTCTCAATTTATGAATGATTAGCAAATACTACCCCATAATGCCCATAATGAAATTCATTTAATTCTGACTGAAAGGGGGACACACACCCTTAACTTTGCTTTCTCTGTGTGCTCCTTGATAGTTATAACAGTGAAGGTAGTCAGCATAAGACCTTGCAGACTTCAGTTTGAACTCCTTGGCCTGAGGAAGAAAGCAGCAAAATTCTCATTACGTTTTGCTGGGCCAAGATTTCACCTTTTCAACAGTTGTACACGGAGAGACTTTATCAGTCATTCATGTTGTCCAAATGTCATGACCAAACATGGTTTTGGCTAGTCTGTTCAGCACAAATGTTTCAGCCACAGATTATTTACTTCTAGTACAAGCCTTCTCTCTGTCTTTTCTAATACCAATTCTTGAACTTATCTAAACTATGCAAAACTTGCAGGGTAAAAAGAGACGATATTCAGGGTTCTAAGTAGAGACCATTCTGGTCTAAGAGTAAGCCAAATGTGGAACTCCATCCTTAGATAAAACTTAATGCACCTGAGGTACACTGAGTAGGAATAAAAAGGATTAAATACCTGAAATGTCAATGAATGCTAGTAAGTATCTTTACACATAAAGCAAAAACTTTGTCAAAGTAAAAAATCATTTTACCAAGGTGATACAGAAAGATAAGATATTGTTTGAATATAAGGCAACTGTGCCTACCTGAAGCACACCTGACTTCTTTACCAAAAGAGCAAAGATTAAATGTATTTTGCTAACAAATAACTTTAAGGGTTGTAAATCAAATGCTTTTTAAAAGCACAACACTTGTTGCAAAAACAAATTATGGCTTCAATCCAGTCCTGTTGATAGGCAGTCACGAGGTTAAAGACTGCAGGATGGATCCCAAATCCACCTTAAAATGGGTTATACAGCTGAATTATATAGTTACTAGTTACTCCTTTTGACAGTTGAATATGGATATGGCACCAAAATCATATGCTCCATTCTCAGAAGCAGGATTCAGCATTCCTGTGTGAGTTCCACAACATCTAGACACTGTGAAAGATGGAGCCAGTTATGCCCTAAGTACAGGCATAGTAACACAAGAGGGTTTGGTGCTACAATCCTGAATATGTTCACCTCCACACTGCCTCAGCAGCAACAAGGTTAAGCAGAGATAGATGGCAGAGTAACCGTAGAATAAAATAGATTAGTCTAAACTAATAGGCAGATAGCTATTAAAATTTCCTTTTTATCATAGGTGATATTTGTGTGAAATACAAACTATCAACTCCAAGTGCCTCTATGATAAGTAGACTAAAAAAAAATGTACATCTTATTTCTTTCAACTTATATCTATTTTAAGTGATTAACAGATTTAATTTAGTCTTTCTAAATAGATGTCATATCTTGATGAAACTACACTTCAGAATTTCTAAATAAAAAAAAAAAAATCAGGCAAGGAAGACTATTGAGGCTTTTGCTTTTCTTTAAAGGACAAAGTGCATATTTAAACAGAAATCATATCCTAACTAATTCTGAACAAACCAACCCAACGCTGTTTAACTAATTCGTTGTTGTTCAGTCCTTCTCTTGGTTCTGTTTTATCATCCCAGTATTTCCTCCTGATGCTGCCACGAACACATAGTTGTTTGATATCAGAAGATTTTAATACTAGTAAATAAACTCAAAAAATATCTCATTTTCTTTTTTCCATTCCTCTTTACCATTTTCTCCTCCCCCAGCTCAGTGTACTGGATATGAAAAGGTGAACAGGAATATTAACCTCAGGAATTATTTCATTTTTCTACTCTCCATCAAACAAAACTACATATCTTACCTATAACAGCTTATTCCAATGGCTTGAAAGATCTGGCTATCATCTGGACTAAGCAATGTTGCTTCTTTGAAGTCCTGAAAAGAACAGACATTAAACCATGCAAACTGATACTGCTTCAGTTCACCTACAACTGTGGTTTTAGCTAAACAATTTTATACTTCTATATAAAAAGGGAGATGACTTCTGACAAAGGCATTATACTTTCAGAAGTACTGGAGACGTAACTGTTCTCATACTTCTTGTCCCAGACTTTGATAGAATAAAATCTCCAAAATTATGTGATATTATGGTATTTCCTACAAAGCTGGAAGCAACATTTCCAGGAACAAAACCTTCCAGAAAGGTATTTTTTATTTTTAATAGAAATACCATACTCAGCCACTATTATTAAATACATACATATTGAAAAAATATTTTGCTATATGCAATTTCAATATATTTCTTCCAGTAATAAAATTATCTAGTTACTTTGTTATTACTTTGACAAATATACTAAAGCAAACTCATATTTGCATTGGGAGATTCTGTGTACAATGTTCCATTGAAAGGCTTCATAGGGCTTTTGACTTTTGCCTTTTACTAACATTCAGAACATTTTTCAAAATGCTTATGGTTTTGATATATGTGTTTCAGTTGTAAAAAATATACAGGTGCTTTTAAAATCAAATACAATCATTCCAATTACAATGTAAGGAAGCACTTTAGACTTCTGCATGAGAAAGCAACCAGTACGTAGTAGGAGTGATTTAGCTGACGCATCCACTGAATGACAACTTAGAAAGCATTTTGTACTTGTTCTAATTGTAAAAATAAAAATATGTGGAAAATTTTAGTTCTGTTGGAATTACAGAAGTGGCAAAATAATGATGTGCATATACTTGTATTTATATTTTGCTGAAATCTCTCTTTTGGTGAATACTTTATCATAAAATTATAGGTCTGGTTTTAAAAAACTACTGAGATGCACAGCTCCCATCCAGCAAAGCCTTTCAAAGAATACCCAGCAGAGCTAATGGGGTTCTTCGTGTGCACAATTTGGAGTATACACTCTGCTCTGTGTACAGAGCAGAGGAAAAGCAGGATCAAAGATCCAAGGACCAGGCTTGGTTTACTTAAGACAAAGGTGCTATCCTCACAGGTAACTGCACACTTCACAGAATCAACAGGAAAAGACACCTTTATATAGCAATTCATATCTTATATAGACTGAATTGTAACTTTTTAGTTTAGTTCCAGTGTACCCAAGTCAGGACTATACTCACTTCAAGTAGTATGTATCTGTGCTTAAGTAATTATATCCTAATTCAGCCAGCAGTATACATGTATACAGATACACTCCTTGCAATAAAATATTATCAGAACTGATACCTAAGGTCTCAAGCATATTTATAATCACTGATGTTTTTCTTAAATTAGCTGTTATATTTTTGTGTCTGTTGTTCAGTTACCATTTCGTAAATTTGTCTTTGCTACAATCCATTCAAAGAACTTTTTGCTCACCCGGCTGGTTCTGCCCCCATCTCTTTCTACTGGCCTTACATTATCAGTTTCTACCACCTCAGCCTCTTTTCTGAACTATTCTGATCAATTGCGTCTTGAAGTTTAAGAGATCAGTAACACCATATTTTTATTTAAATTATTTCTATGCAGGGTCTACCAACTGTAAAGAGCTTTTGTTGTGCACTTCCAACAGGACATTTCTGGGTCATTGGAATGAGATTCATATTCATTCTTCTTTTTTTATTTTCAGATAAGAAATATTATTCAATTTTCAGAATGCCTATGCTGAAGTCGTGGCTATCACATAAAGATAACATGTTTTAAAGTTACTAGTCCACAATCGAAGCAACAGTTATACTGAAAATAAATACCCCTGCTTTTAAAAAAACTAAAACTTTTTGAAAACTTAATTATTTAAAATTCAAAAATAAAAACCCACACGTGTGAAAGAGTAATGTTTAGCACTGTTAGGTTTCAAGACTGCTACTGCCATATTAGATGGAGTCTCATGGAATGAGAGTCATCTGCACTGTGAGTCAGTGTCAAACAGACATACTATGTTCTTACATTTAAGAAAATTATCTTGATATTGGACCCTTCCTTCCCTTTCAACAAAAATGGTCATTTACACCCACACATGCACACACACAGAGGAACATAACAAGCCCACTCAGTCAGAACCTCCATTTACTTAGGCTTCTGCAATGAATTAGTACTCATTTGGACCCAACATAAATTACTTCAAGATTAAAAAAGAAGGGAAAATCAGTTTCTTGCTTATTAAATTTTGTGCTACGCCCATGTTTAACTCTAGCAGCATAAAATTGTAGAACAAGTAAAACTGCATTTTATTTGCATCTTCACAGCCAGGCTGGCATTAGGTGTTGAGAAAATGAGAACAGGGCACAAACTATTTCAGAAGAATATAAAAACTGTCAAGCTAGTCTTTATATCAGCAATGGTTTACATTTAACAGAGAACTCTACATTTTCTTTACTCAAAGAAGGATTTTGTACCTCACATGCATTAGCATAATCACCAAGTTCCATGTAGAGTAGTCCACGATTAATTAACACTTTAAAAGCTATTTCCTTACTCAATTCAAGCAGAAGAAGAATTCCATAATCTTTCAAAGCCTACAAAAACATTAAATGTATTTTAAACCATAATTTATTCAGATGGATGCAATGATGCTTCAAAATTTAAAAGACACGCTTTCAAATTCCTACAAATCATGTGCATACGCGTGGACTTCAGTGTGGCTGTTCCAATGTTTCACTGTTTCCAGATTGAATTTAACCGAATTTGAAGCCTTCTATGATTACATAGATACCCCTTCCTAAAGTACAGAAGCAAAGATAATGCAAATATTATAAATAGACATAATTAAAATTTACTTTGTCATTATATAAATTTCAGAGTTAGAAATAAATCTTAATTACTTCTACTGCTAAATTTTATGTCCAAATTCTTATTAAAAAACCATCAAATTATGCTAGATTAATTAGTCATGAATTAATGTCAAATTAAAGTACTTTTAAAATTAAATATCTTGAAATATAATTTATTGTTATTGAAAAATGTAAGCACTACTTATATTAACTAAATTTGGGTGTAAATTTTGTAAAAGAGAAGATAGTGACACAGCTACATAGACTGAAGAAGCCTCAATTCTCAGATTTACCAAAACTGAACAGCATTTCAACAATGCTCAGTCTGAAGAAGTTCTAGCACAACTCTCTTTTCACCTGAAGAATGAACTTGTATAGTACACTTAAGAATAACTAGACAGTTTAGAGCTAATATGACAAAAATGTCCTTGACTGCAGTATTCCATATACTAGCCACTTAAGAGGAGTTCTATTCTTTGTCTCCTATCTTTTGTCTCCCCCATACTTTAAGTGGCTTTTCTGGAGAGTGATAGCAAACAACTTTTTAAACACTTTATCTATGAAGAAACTATCATTTTCACATCTTAAACTTTTACCTTCAGTTACTGTAATCACCTATTTTTCTTTACCTATCTGCATTATTCTTGGCCAATTAACCTCCAAGCACAAATGGCCTTTGCCCAAGATCGAGTTGACTTCAGACAGCCAAGCTCAAATAATTAGGAACTGGCCCTGTCTCAAAAAACAGGCCTCATCAAAAAGACAGTTCAACATGATTGTGTTCCCAGTCTGAAGCTGCATGGTGCCTTCGTATACTCTGTTGTGCCTTTGCTTTATAACAAAGGTAGAAAACACTCAGAGGCAGCTCACAGGTAAGTTGACAGAATAAACACATCCAGAACAACAGGGCTGTGAATGAGCATTAGATGTAGTCCAAATCCCTGTTTTGATCTAGCCTTCTTCTGGATATAGTTCTTGTCTTTTCAAATGGACATCAAATGTAATTAATATGATAGTAGAGACCAAAAAGCTTTTTTTTAAAACAATTTCCTGAAGAGCACGATCATTCAGTAAGACATTGAAAGAGGTCAGACATTTTGACTAATCGTCAGTAAAAAGTTACTAGCTAATGTGAACAACTGAGTGCTCATGTGATGTTGAAAAAAATTAATGCCATACCCTTCTAAAGTCCTTTATTTCATGATAACAGATGGCTCTGTTATAATATGCCAAAATGCATGTTTTGTTCAGGTCGATAGTTTTTGAAAGATCTTCAACTGCAGCTTTAAATCTCTGCAAATGAAAAAACACTACGTATAAATTGTAATTCAGAGTTCATGGCACTACACATTCTTCCTCAAATAGCCTATTGTAAAAGTTTATTTCATAGTTTTACATTTTGGTTCTTCATCAGTACTGCAAGCCATCCAACCATTTCACTATGTCCTCTATGGACTACTTACTGCTGTCCTTACTGCAGCAAGAGCACTTCAGAAGCTCCATTTTTGTGCAAAGGCTGGGCAAACAATCATTCGTAATGTTTTCTTATATCATATCCATATACTGCAATATATAATCAATCCTTAGTTTTACTAGCTTACATTTTATATCTTAACCTAAACTAGAAGGTATCTTATGTGGAGTTTTGGTACTTCCATCTATCACTATGTAAGAATCTGTTCTGTGAAACTGAAGTGGAGACTAACCAGATAGATACTCAGTAGCTTCTCCAACCCATCAAATATTTTCAGTTGCATAGAACAACCACAGAGCAGCTTCAAAGAGGAATGGAAAGTATAATAATCAAGTAGAATTCCTGGTTTCCATCAGCAACACCTTTACCATTATTTCACCATTCTAAAGTGTCAAGTAAGATTTATTAAGTTTTAAAGAAGAATTCTAAAGTACAGCAATAAAGACAGTCCCACCTTATTTTGATACTTTAAAGTTCCTCGGTAAAAATAAGCTCGCACACTGTTAGGAAGAATTTTGATCGCCTCATTGCAATTCAGAATTGCCTTAGCATATCTACCTTTACTTCCATAGTAAGCAGCACAACTCATATATGCCTGTAGAAATGAAGATGAAATGGTGACATGGTAAAAAAACCAGCTTTTTTTAGCATTATAAACCAAGGGTTAAACAGAAGACAGAAATTACAAGTTTATAAAAACGTACATCTTGCGAAGCTTGTAATTTCTTTTATTTAATGCTTGCCATGTATTTGCTGAGAGATTACAAGGCAATACACCCATAAAATGCAAAACCTATCAGTCTTTGAACCCATCCAAAAAATGCTTCACAGAAACAAACTATCAGGAGTTTTTATATTACCTGGAAGTGTGATGGACAAAGGGCAAGTGCTTGACTGAAATCTCGGATGCACTTGGCTTGTCTGAGCTGCATTCTACACAGCCCTCGCTGATAAAAAGCATCAGGGTAACTTGAATGTAGTCTGATAGCCATACTAAAAGCATCACGGGCCTAGAAGGATGACATATCATCTGGATTAAATATGGTCTGTTTGTTCATCTGAAGCCATAGGCAAATTAACTGACTCTTCTGTACAGCTAGGTATGACCTATTTTTGCAGTTGTACCTGCATTGGTTTTTTATCACTCATCCATTTACAGCTACTTAAAATTTTGTAATGTTTAACACCCTACCTAGTACAATCATAACCTCAAGGAGGTACAACCTAACTCATTTAATAATCTCATTTCTTTAATGAGACTGCAGAAGTTTAACCAAGCACAAGGTCTTCTGTCTGTAAGACCTGAAATAATTTATTATAATAGATAATGGATTAATACTGCTAGTATGCAACTCCTTTAAAATCCATCCAGATAGTTTTTTCTTCTACATTGTACATTAGCTTACAAAGTCACAGGCTTTTCCAGGATCTACAGCTATAATATCAGAGGTACATTGGCACAGAAAGTCACCTTTTGCAGTTGTCATGTATTGCCACATTAGATATTTCAGACAATTTTGACAGCCTTCTTCCAAAAGAATATCACTTTTGACAAATGGGGTTGGAAGCAGGCAGGGCAAGAAATTGTTCTCTTCCCTGTGAAATTCTGGTATTTCAAGCGTTTCTAGTTTCTGTCTTGAGCCTTTTAGCAAATCAACAACTGAAACATATTTATTAAAATATCAACGTAGAAAACATTTGCATGAACTCACACTAGGCCTGCCACAAAATTCACCGATAGGCTTTCAACAGTTTTCAACAAAAGAGTCCCCAATACAGTTGAAAGAATTGATTTTGTTGAAAGAAGTGAAACATTTTTCTTAGGTAATGCAGTTTATTTCTTAAGTATCACACTTAAGCGCCAAAGGGAACCAGCTAGGGGTGTTATTAGCTACAGTAATATAAAAAGCAGTTAACAAATTACATCCAGCTCCATCATACAATTATCTAGGAATTCCTTTGTCCAAGTTTACTACCAATTCGCTACACCACTGATACTCCTACATGAGTCTTGTTTGTCTACAAGATCTGTGAAGACATTGATAAACAATTAAGAAATTAATGTATGTTTTTATTCCATCAAATTTGTAATTAGTGACATACATTAAAAAAATCATAACATTAGCACTGGAAAAATGACTTACATACTTGCAAGACAGTCTAATGTACCTCATGAATTCAAAAGAAAATTGCTAAAGGCAGTGTTTAAAATATTGAAATCATTTGCTCACTTATAGTAGTTGTTTACAAGCAGTGGAGTCAAAGGCTAATATATTCTATATAATTAGTACAAACCTGTAATAAACTTTTTTGCTCCATGTAACACAGGCCTGTGAGATAATACATTTCTGCAGCCTCAAATGTTTTAGGCAGGACTTTTGCTGAGGTCATCAGGAGCTTCATAGCTTTTTTAAAACTTCTCATAGCATCCTACAACACAGAGAATATTAATAGTTGTAAAGCACTTAACTGAAAATCTGCAAGATTTGTTAGACATTTTTAGTTTGTATTTATTTTTCCTAGTCTTTCTTTGGAACATTATGGTAAAATGACTAGTCTAGTGTTCCTTGATGTTGCTGGAGTTAGACAGACTCTTGATCTCTGAATCGTTCATATTAACAACATCCTAAGAAAACTGAGAAATATTCCCGAGTTTTATTTATATATTACAAAGTAGCTAATGTACATGATCTTGAAATAACATACAGTTCATTTATACTCTTATTTAGGCACACAGTTAATTATAATTATTTATTAATTTTACTTATATTTATTTCCTTGGGAAGAAAAGGTATACCTTTTCTTTATGTAAATAAAGGTTTCTTTACGTAAATAATGGAAAACTATTTATTCCATAGACAACTTACTCAATTTAATAACCATTAAATATATTGAAAGGATCAGTCCTGTATAGGCATTGAAGGAACTTATATGAACAGCCTCCCAGAATCTTACCACGTCTCATAGATCTGGGAAATAATTTATGCATATTTAATAATGCTTTGGTTTAAAGAAGAGTGTAAGGAAAACAATAAAAAAATTAAGAACAGTTCAAGATAAGCCATTCCTTAGCCTTTGAGGATTATAAAGGGACCACTGTGAAAGTTTCAATATCAAGAAAAGTAAAAGAATTACAGCATCTTTTTCTTAAGTGAGTCTTTTAATATGGAGAAGTATTTGTTTAGAAAAATTAGTTTGAAATACCAGTGCCCACAGGGCTGTCTGCAAATACTACACCTGCCTCCCTAAGTTGTCAAGGTAGTAGAAGTTTTAAATGAAACAGGTCTGCATTTACTGCTATTTTAAAATCATTTTTCTCCATTTCTACATTCAAAAATACTCTTTCTTTAAGAGGAAAAAGAACTGTAGATACCTGAACTCACATGTATTTCTAAAGGCACAGCTGATTCTCAGGGCACTACAGCCTGAAGTCTGATCATTTTCCCCACTCAGAGTATTGCACCATTCCCCTACAGAAGAGCTGGCAATGCAAGTCCTCACCTCTGGGTGAAGCACTCTGAGAAATCAGGGAATGCACTCTAACACACACCCTCTTAACCTTGACAACTGAAATGGGTTGAATTGGAGAGTACTAATGATCACTGTCTTTGACTTAGCACCCTTTCAAGGACAGCAGAACTAGTTATGTCCCATTATGGTTTGAGACAAATAAAACACCCAAGCCTAACAAAAAAAGCTGAACGGATCAAGAGCTTTTATCTGGTACAAGCAGGAGCAGGAGTATAATTATTGCAAAATGCACGCCTTTTCATTTAAAAAGAACCTGCAAACACAAGGCTAAGGAAACGGAAAGACTGTGCATTTCGAGCACAGAACTCAAACAGATAGGTAGATTCAAGGTTTTATGAATCTGCCTGTTACTGCTATTGTGTTTAGGGAAACAGGACTTTACCTTTTGTATGACCAAATAGGACTGTACAAAAAGAAACAATTAATCCATACTGCCAATTTCAACAATTCTGCAGGCTTCAAATATTGTCTAACTGCAAGACTCAAAGTAGTGACAATATTGGTTAAACCCTATTGCATATGAATATTCATGAAGTTGAGAAAATACCTGTAACTATACATTACATATGCAGTTCACATACGTGAATTAAACATTTGTATTGCATTTTATTAGACAAAAAGTGATAGACATACTTCTGTATTATTTTGTTTCAAAAGAAGTAAAATTATGACATATAATGGGCCTTAATCTACATAATTGTATCTTGTAATTGATCATCCAAAATGCTTTAAAACTAAAATTGTCTCATTTATGCTGAACTATTAGTGCTGCTGTTGTTGAAAATTCTTACTCAGGTCTTATGATTTAATGAGGTGCCCTGAAGGTTTATTTTTATACTAGCACATTTCATGAAATATTGTAAGAATACAGAAAGAAAAGCATTGTCTTGTTTGGCATATAAATAATGTAAACTTTTCTAACCTTAGTTTTCTTGGCTTTCATTTGTATTTTTCCTAAAATAACAAACATTGAAGGCTCACGTTGAGTTGCGGTAGCTTCATGTAAGCACTCTATGGCCTTATCGTGATTTTGACAAAATGACTGAATGAGTGCTTGCTGAACAGGCTGAGACGTAAAGGATTCTGGAAGGAAACCACCATGAAAAACAATCTCTTTTACTTCAACCTATATGTTTTCCAGTGTAAAATACGTTTAAATTATATGCAAACTTTAAAATTCTATTAAAATATTTGGAGTATCAAAGCTTGTTTTAACATCCATAAAAATACAAACATAAACTAAATTCCTATAGAAGTCCTAAGTTGAATAGTTATTTACCAATGAATGTAGTTTGATTGCTAAACACCTGCAAATATTTACCTTCCCCTCCCCACATCTAAGAAAGCTTTGCTCTGCAGAAGTATCACCATATACCTGCTTTCGTTTTATATTCTTGTGCCCTGTGTATCCACTCTTGGTCACTACCAGAGACAGGAAATTAATCTCATACAGTATGACTATTCATATGGATTCACCAAGAGTTTCAGAATGCACTGAACACTGCCATTTTATGCCCAGCACATGAAAAGGTACTACTATACTGCAACATTTCTTCTGTTCAAACACATTGGGAAGGTTGAGTTCTAAAGATATTTGATATTTTGTTAGGAAAGACTGTACGTAAGTACAGAACAGAATCCTTACTCAATATTCCTTTAAAGCACAAATTACCAATATTCATAGAATCGCTTAGGTTGGAAAAGACTCCAGTCCAACCGTTAACCTAGCACTGCCATCCCACCACTAAACCATGTCCCTAAGCACCTCGTCTACATGTCTTTTAAATCCCTCCAGGGATGGGGACTCGACCACCTCCCTGGGCAGCCCATTACAGAGCCTGACAACCCTTTCTGTGAAGAAATTTTTCCTAATGCCTAATTATTAATATAATATTAGTATTATTAATATTGAAAGGCAGAAATAAAAAACAACAAGAACTCAAAAGATAAAGGAAATTCTGAAGTCCCAGGTGATAGTACGGGCAATAATGGTACAGGTGGTAATACAAACACTATCACCTTTAAAGGCTTCAGATGTGCAAACAAAATACTCTAGATAATAAGTTCCTCTGTTTTAGCTGATTCATGGTAACTAACCTATTTGCATGCTTGAACTTAATTGTTTTTGAACAATTGCTTGGTTACAGACTGCTGCCATGGTTCACAACTATCTAGGAAAATTGATGGAAATTGGCTTTACCTTCATCCATTTCTGCAAGTTGGTAAATACATAAACTTGCCAGCTCATATTTCTTCAACTCCATTAAATACTGTCCCCTGTAATGAAATATTTGTTGGATGTGATTAATGAAACTATTTCCAGGCATTTCTTTCAAAGTACAAATACTACTGAAATATGTTTTCATTAGTATAAAACGAGAAAAAGGAAAAATAATGCCTTCCAATAAAAATATTAAAAATGAATATTTTTTTTCATTAAAAATAAGTCACATTTTTAAGTTTTTCTTTCACATCACAGTACCAAGAAATCATATGCTTACCTCTCTTTGGATTGTAGGAGTTACAAAAACACATTTTCTTTGGATTCCACAGATAGTAATCCTTACAATCTCAAGAACTGTAACAATAATCTTAATAATACCATTTCTACGATCCACAACTGACCAATAGCTGATAGATACACTCTGTTTTCAAGGACAATTTTTTGTCTCCTCAGATATCAGCATCAGTATAAGAGGTCACACTAGCCAAACTACACTGAGAAACAGACAGAGTAAACCCACTCTTAAAACTGGGAAAATATAGTAGTATTGACTGGAACGTAGTAACTAATTCTCCTAATACACCTGAGGAATAATATCCTACCATTTCCTCCTTAGTTATTACAGTTTTTCAGGGGACGAAACATCCTTATGGAGTAATTTATTTTTTAGTCTTGTTAAAGGTCACTTCTTGTCACTGGGCTGAAAATGAGAAAAGTAGTTCAATTCTAAATTGGCCTGGACTCAATCCTTCACATTCTTTGCATTATGTGGATTCTGCAGACAAATCAGCGAAGGACCCATCCAGTTGTGGAAAACATTTAAAATTATTAATTTTTTAAAAGTTCAGACTTGCTTTCTTGTTATGGCACCTATTTACTTCTTTTTCCCCGGAAACTATATGTACCTCAAAGACCAGAATTTTGTATATGAAAGAAGGTTCCTCTTTCAAAGGTAATGAGTACAATAGTTGGGTGACACTATGCAGATACATTTTTTTCAGGTTTTGAAAACATTTTTTAAAACCCATTCAGATCAGGTTTCAAAGAATACAAGGGTATATACCAACAGCATTCTAAATGTTTTTGTTTTTAAAGTGAGATATCTGTGAAGTTCTCAACTAATCCCTTTCCTACCTTAATATGCAAAGTTGTGATTTATTTGGATAAAGATGAATGGCTCTGTTTATATCCTTCACAGCATGTGGTAAATTATGAATCTGTAGTTTATAAAGAAAAAACAGAGATTTAATTGCTAATATGAACACAATTTGGAGACACAATTACTATTTCTGTAAATGTGGTTCTGCAGGATGCAATGCCCACATGGTAACAACTCACAAGGCACATATGCCCTCTCTAAAGGAGCTCAACATGTTTTTAATAAAGATGTGAAACATTTACCCTATATATTTCCATACTGTCCCACAGGACAGATCCAAACTCCAGACAGTTTCTTTACTTTTCCAAAATCCAAAGAAGAGTCTGGACTATTGGGAAGGAGATTAGGTCATGAGATCCACATGCATGTATGTCCTTATGAATCTTCACTAATGTAATGAATTCGCATTTATTTTTCAAGTGTCTGTGCATGTGGTCTCATTCAGTGTGCTTCAGATGCTGAGGAGAAAGGAGATCATTACAGCAAAGATCCCAAGGACTGATTCATTCAGCTGGGATAGCTGTTAACTCGAACTCTCATTAAAGAACAGCACTAATGGAATGCATGTTGCTGTTTTACATTGAAATAAAAAAGCCCTCCAAAAAAAGAGTAAAAAATACAAAAGCAACCTGAGCATTAGAGGATGATCTCCAATATAAACTATCGGACACAAGTTCTTAAGTATCAAAAAAGAGAATATCATCGATCCACTTAGATTGACTCTTGAGTTAAAAGCCATTTCCTTTAGTTGTGGAAGCAAAGTAACAGTGTAAGCAATTTCTCACAATATTTTGAAAACAAACTAAGCACTGTGAGACACATGAGTTGTTTGAATTCTGACAACAAATTCTACAGAAATTAGGTCACATTGAATACTCCATTCCTTGTACTCCTGAGGTGTCAAAAAAACAACTGCTAGCAGAAATTATTCGCAGATCCCATGCAGAAGGAGAATACATTCTGTTTCACAGTAAATTAAAATACTTAAAATATTTTCACTCCCATTTGTGGGGAAGAACATTTGAGTTTCCTGAAAAATAAGTATTCTCAAGAAAATTCTGTTTAGAAAACATTGCATTTCAAAATGGGGGGGTTATATTTAAAAAATACATATTTTCCAAAAATATTTTTGAAATACATTTCAAAACATTATTAAAACTCAGATTAGAGGTACACTGATGTAGAGACAATAAAGTGACTCTTGAAATATTTTGTGTCATTGCATTATATACATGTCAACAGTATTTTACAATTGCAATGCATGTAATTATTATGGTGACAAGGACTACTTGAAATGTATAGCTATAGGCAGGTTATAACATGTATAACACAAAGGCATAAGTATTAAAATATTCAAACACCATAAATATAAAGCTATGTTAAATGGCAAACAAAAGCATAAAGAATGTATTACCTCACGATATGCTTGCGCTCTGCATACATAGGCTCGAACATTGAGAGGATCAATTTCAATGGCATTAGTAAACTGTCGAATAGCTTCAGAGTATTGATGGAGATGCAACAGCAGTATCAAACCAATATTTAGGTAAGCAAAGATGACAGAGCTAAAACCAGATTTTTTTTCCTTTTGTTATTGCATGAAATATGTCATTGTATTAACCACAACTTATACAGGCTTCATCTACTTTTATGACATTTACCACGCATCTCTTGTTATCACACTGAGCTAAAGAATTGTAATTGCCAGCAGAGGAGATAGGTCATTAAAAAACACCACTTCAGTAGCTTGTGATGTTTGGCTGCACACTAGAGGCTCTCTCATCACCAAAAGCAACAGTCCAAATGTAAATTGTGAAGAAGTGATGACAAGTCTGTCATAGAAGCTGGACTAAAAATAGAGCTAACTGGTAATTTTGTATCTACTGAAAAAATACTGAATTCTTCAACACTAAAAATATATTGTAGTTTTAAAAGTCTGACAAAGCTTACACGTTTTCCTTCTAGTCTGCTCCCTTATTCTCTGTCATTTCACTTGACTAGCTGCTAGGCAGACCTGGGTTTCCAAGATCTGCAATATCTGGAGCAGCTCGCTCTTACAGAGCATTTCTAGGCAAAATTCAAGATTTCCTATAGCAGAGCCAAGACAAAGGAAGAGCTGAGGGGTCTTTAAGGCCTGCCACAGATTAGAATGGAAGCCTTTGCTCAAGACAGGACTGTTGGGGTTGCCTGAGGCTGAACAAGAACTCAATACCTTTAGAGTAAGGTAATTAATGCAGCTAACTGGTATGGGAGGCCTGTTGCATACAGCAAGACCATGTGTAAGGCAGAGCTGCCACAGATATAATCTATTTCTGTAGTATTTTTAAATGGTAGGAAGAAATGCAATTCAGAGAAACCACATCAGTTTCAGTCACCAACTAACCAAGGATCACAAACAGCATTTTTAAAAATTTTATTTCAGGGACACCATTTACTGGCTTTTGCTCAATAAAACATTGTGACATTTTCTTTGGGGAAAAAAGTTTGACTTTTTATCTGCATTGTGGACAGATTCCCTCCCAAAAGACTAATGAAATTATTATGGCATGAGTAGTCAACTTTAATTAGGACTTCAGTTTCATCTTTTGTCTGCCAAACCTGAATAATTTACCTGCCAAGTTGCCATGTAAGGCAAAATAAAATTTAATTTTGAAATACATTAATAATTATTTTTAATATACTCAGACTATAGTAAATGAGGCAAAAGATATTAAAAGAAGACAACATTATATTTGTGTGGTTTTATGTCAGTCTATTTGTTGAATAACAGTTCTGATTCTGCTTTCCTTTATTAGTACTTTTATGCCCCAGATAATCAGAATATAAACAACATATATTAAAATTCTCAAGTCCAATCACCTGTCCAAAGCTAGGACACTTTCAAAGTCACAGATTGCAAGTGACCATTGACACTGTTCTGAGTAAAGAATCCCACGATGAAGAAAAGAACAGAAATTCTCCTGAGTGTCATTGATGAGTACTGTGGGAGAAGGAAAATAAAAATCAACCGTTAAGATATTCGCAGATATTTCAGTCACTCCATGCAACTTATTTGCACATTACTTTTTACTCTGGTTTTCTTAGAATTTTATAAAATATCACAGCTAAACCATAACATGAGATCATAACAGAAACTGTTCATTGGGGCATGAAATACCTTCAAGAGATATTTATATTTCTCAGTTACACCCACTCCAATTGTTAAAAGTGAAGCAGAAAAGCACAGGAAGTAGAGGCAAAACAACTGAAGACAAACAACAACAGCAAGAGTCAATGTCTAATAGCAAACATAATGGAAATTAAAAGGAGCAAGTTATTACCAAACACTGAACGATAACCATACATTTCAATATTTGCAACATGAAATATCTGTGCTATATTGTAGTATAGTAATTACTGGTGAATGGTCATTCCTCTTTTTAGTGATAAACACATACACCATTAAAAGAAACAATACCAGAAACACTGAAGTCCTGCACAGCTTTTTTGGGATCAATCTGTCGCAGTATGCAACCTCTATAGTAGAATGCTAACCAACAAGAAGGGTCTAGACGAACCGCTGCTGCTAAGTCTTGTATTGCATTTCTGTACCGCTGCTGCTTAGCATATGCTCTTCCTCGATACAGCCTAATAAGGAAGAAAGTCCCCTTTAAATATAATTTCCCTTAGAAAATTATACCTACAGAATGAAGTCAGTGTGAAGTCATAGACTATTATTTGTAACATTAACAGAGAAAAAAAAATGTTGACAAATACAATAAACATTCAAGGCAGGTCACTGCACTTGCATAAATCAAGTTCAATACAATAGAACCCTGTTTCAGCTCTGGGCATCACAGAGTTGAATGGAACTTTCTCCAAGTTCCACAGTCTATTGGTGCAGCAGTTTCTGTATCAGAAATACCAGGTTTTGTTAAAGTTGATGTAAAAGATAAAAATATAAAACTGGCCTCATTACTATTAAAGCTTTCTGAAAATATCCATTCTATTCTTCAATATTTCTTTCAAACAGGCAAGTTTACAAAATCAGATCCTACGTTTCACATCATTCTCCCTCAAATTCAGGAAGCTAGACATATATCTAAACAAGATAATCACAAGCACAGGTGGAAAAATGTGAATAGACAGCAATGGCTGTAAAATTATTTTATTAATGCAAAATATAATCTATAAAACTTATATTTTTGTTTTACTGGAGATAGCTTTCACTTAAGTGGGTCATGTCACATCCCACTTCTATGCAGAGTTATCATGCAAAATATATACTATTCCTTTTTCAATCTAGCACAGTAAAGTCAGTTCCTCAAGAATTTAAATCACATGCTTAACTGTACAGAAATACAAGGGACTGATACTAATTGTACTCACTAGGACTACTCAGAGAGCCCACACATCAACTTTTGAGCCTCAATGACCTAGCAGATTTCAGGAAGCCAAATGCAGCTTTATGTTGCTTCAAGATTTTATTTCAGAGTTTTAAGGAGCATCTGTAAATTACTTCAGTAGCACAGGAACCTAATGTCATAAGAAAGCTTTGCATGATTCTGTGGCTCCCTGTGACGAAGGACATGCCTGACCAGTAGAATACACACATAGCGGAATTCTTCCCTAGCCATTTCTATTCAGTTTGGACACGAATCAGTTCCAGAATAAGACATCTGAACTTAGGTGTCTATTTGTAGATGTGTACAACATATGTTAGGTGTCTGACTTTCCACTATCTAGTCGATATAATCCAAGGAGATGAAAGCAATTCAGTTAATCGAAAAATATACACTTACTGGCTCTTTAGCTGAACAGCTCTTCAGGCATTATAGAAGAGCCTATATTCAGTCTACCTAGAGTCTGCAAACTGTATTGATTAGAGACTTCGGTGACAATGGCTGCTCAGGCACCTACCATCCCATAGATACAGCAAGCTGACTCCTAAATTCAGGTATCATAATCTGGTATTGAATATCTGCTTTTACTTTAATTTTATATCTATTTTCATTAATCTAGAATAGAGTATAAAAAGAATGCAAATCTTTGCAGGAATGATATTTTAAAAGTCACATTTTCTATTAGGGAAATCATAAATTCTTTTCAGTCTTTTAAGTTGAAGCTCAAAATCATCATTATATTTCAAAAATAAAGATATTTCTCATTCATAATTCACATTTTTCACAGAAAACATTCATTCTGCATAATGCTAAAACTAGAAGCATCAAGGCAACCAATGGAAATTAGGCATAGAACTATGTAATCCTTAAGGACATTCTTCACTTTGAGCATGTATTTAAACGGAGCTCTTAGAGCAAAGCACATGTGCACATGCTTAAGTCCGACTGACTCTCTATTTGCATTATTCCAGTGGGATCTGAGCACATGGTTCTGTGCTTAGCTAAATTAATGTTTAGGGACTAATCCAAAGTCATTAAAGCAATACAAAGATTACCCAATAAATATCATTGTTTATAAGTAGTCTTATTCTATTTATTAGACATCTCTTCAGAAATGCAATTGCTATATCATTGTTTAATACATATTCAGTCTTTTACATATTAATAGTCTTTTAATAATCCATTTAAAATTCAAATACTTCTGTCAAACTAAATATTCTACCTTGCCTGAGCATTGCTGGGGTCTTCCTTGATCACAGCTGTAAAATCTTGAATAGCTGTAGTCAAAACTGAACGGTCAAAGAAATGTATTCCATGTTTCATAAGAGCATCTGTTCTTTTTGGGTTATACTGAAAACACTATAATGAAAAAAATAAAATAGTACATGATATTATCGCTCATTCTTGTTATCTCTAATGATTGAAAGTCTTAACCAAGCATAAAAATAATATATTTTTTATTCTCAGACTTTCTTTTTTATTCCTTTGTCCTTTGTCTATTGTCATTTCCATTAAAAGTGAAATAAAAAAAGTAGTGATGCAAGCTTATTTCTGGCTGATAATTTATAAACATTCAGTAATTTATTGAATTAGCCAGCAGGAGTAGCAGAAATTATTTCTTTCCATAGCACTATTTTTTTTTAAACATTTTTTTAAAGTATATCTGTTCTTCAAGCTGCTTACCAGATATATCCAAATACAGTTTACTTTTACTAAACTTACACAGTTACTACATTACTGTAACAATACAAAAAAGTTAACTTACTTTGGCGTAATCATCCATGGCCAATAACAATTGATTTTCTTCAACGTACAACTCAGCTCTCCTAAAATAAATGTCATCATCTGTAGGGCTGCATTGTATTGCAGAGCTGTAACTGATGATTGCCAATGTATTATCACCTTGTTTCCTGTAAATTTCAGCCATTGACAGGTATGTATCTGAAACAACCACCCAAAATATAAAAGGCACTATTTAGCAGCCCAAAACAGTAACTCATCTTGTCCTTACAGGGTAATGAACACAAGCAGTACAAATAGAACTGATTATACAAAAGGTCAGGAAGTCCAGTTTTAATCTGAGCAACAGAACTCAAAAGTTTGGAGCTATAGCTGTGTGCTCAGTCACATAGCAGCAGTAAACTGACAGCTCTTGCTGGATTCTTTGGATCTTTGCTCTCTGCAGAGCTCTGTAGAAATGGCCCAGCAAACCATTTAGTGTAGACCTGTTGATCACAAACAAATATAAAGATATTTAGTTTAAATGGGCCCATACAATATTTATCCCACTGTATTGGGTCTGGTCAGAATAGAGTTAACTTTCTTTATAAGGCCAGTATGGCGCTGTGTTTTGGACTTGTGGCTAAAACAGTGCTGATTACACAGCAAGGTTTTGGTTTTAGCTCTTACTGAACAATGCCTGCACAGTATCAAGGCTTTTTTCTTTTTTTTTCTCCCACTCTGCCCTCTCCCCAGCAAGGAAGCTGGGGGTGTGCAAGAAGTTGGGAGGGGACACAGCCAGGACAGGTGACCCCAACTGACCAAAGGGATATCCCACACCATATGACATCAGTCTCAGCAACAAAAAAAATAGGGGTAGAAGGAGAAGGATGGGGGGAACATTTGCAAAACTAGGGCCAAAGGCAACTAGAGAAAAAACACTACAAAAAAATTAACATTTAAGTTACACTTCAATAGATACTTACCTGCTTTATTTTTGCTCCATTTAGTTATAAAATTCAGGTCACCCAAAGCAGCCGAAATTTTGTCTTGAAAGAGGTAAATCAAATGTCTATGCCAGTAAGCATTAAGCAGTAGTGGTTCTAAGCTTATAGCCTATAAACAAAATAAGTAACTTATATTGCAGAAGGAACTTCTCAGTTGTGCTAACAATAGTAGATAGGAAATGAGAAAATTTTTGCACTGAAATTATTTTTAAGAAAATTCCTAGACTGTCAAACTTTTATTTAACCTAAAAATTTGAAAAATTTGACTGTCATTTGTGTATTTAAAAGCATCATGTACTTACACATATGCAGAATCAGAGTCCAAGCTACCAGAATATTCAGCACAAAATATTAATCAGCTGGGATATTACCATATTTGATAATTTCTTTGAAATAGTTATCTGAACTATTTCTAGAAGTCAGAATTCTTCTAATTGAAAGTAAGAGATAGTTAACCTGTTCCTGTGAAAAAGGAATCAGCTTTTCAAACCATGCTGTTATGATTCCTATAGAAAGTACTTAACATTCCCTAACAAAACTCACTTGACAGATATTATCAATCAAATATTCCACATATGTTTATTATGCATATAACACACTTAAAAGCCATATGGAAATACATATAGCGACTGATACAAATCTGAGACTGTTCCGCTACAATAGTAATTCTCAAATTTTGGTCTATAAACTATTTCTAGGATCCATAAACTACATAGGAATTGTGTTCATATAGCAAAGAGAAAAGTCAATAAACTTTTTACTAAAATATGCAATAGTAATAGCAAGCAATTTTGACAGTTATCGGCCCATGGGACAACAAACCACTTTGCCAGTGTGTGGAATTTTAGTCTTTCAGATCCTTGACAGTCTGTTTCTAAAGTTTGGGGTGAATAAAAAAGACACAAGATAAACATTGAGTTTCTATGAGTATAGTCAATTTTCTGGTCAGATAATTCATGAAGTTTGGAAGGTAATATGCACAGACTGTAGGTGCATAAAATAGGTACCTATCCCCTCATTTAAAATTTAAAAATATAGATTTATCCCCAAGAGAAGCATTAACAGAAACAGTGTTATAAAAGGAAATTTCACCCCAAGACAATATGCATTTTACTCTAGACATAGAGTAAAATCTGAAGAGTGGATCTCACTGCAGAACAGACTGAGCCTCCTTAAAATTTATCATGGTGTGACACTTAGCTGAAAAGAATGCAGAAACCAACATGAAGCCATGGTTTGCACTTCATTGTTTCACTCCTCTGCACATTTCTAAATATTCCAACTGACTGAGCTTTGCATTTTAGCAAAAGAAATGCTATTTAAATTATTTTAAGGTGCCTGTTGTTAAGATTGTTTTCAGGGACACTGGCAGATTGATGGTATTCTACTCCCACAGAGCAGTATCACAAGATCTGGTTCAATCTTGCATTATCAAGCACTCCAGTACAAGGATCACGAACCCCAAAGGAGCTGCTCAGGATTGCTTTTCCAAACACCAAATGCTGGGTTAAGAGCTGAGATGTTGGTTAAGGAAAGACAGACATCTTTTGCTGCATGACATTGTATATAGTATGAAGTGCTTTGGGGTCCCAACCTGGTTATGACTAGCTGTGTGTAATATAGATGTTAAATGACAATGAAAATAGCATATCAAAAGTACAACACTTGACTTCTCTACCCAGGTTTCACAAACATACAGAACTATATCATTGCTTAAAGAATGCCTTTGAAAACTTTTACGGCTGCCACGTTTAAATTACAGACTTTCAAAATATTCTTTTCATTTCTATATTTTCAGCATTTTTTTTATTCTGTTTTGGTTGTTTCTTTCTAGTTGTGCAGGGTCTTGGGCAGATGTAATGGCAGGCTTGCAGCACTATAAAGGGAACTTCAGTGTTGAAAAAATGAACATACATAGAAAAATACTAGTATTATTGTATCAAATCTTAGTGTCAAATGATAGATTATAAACAGAAAATTCATTACTTTTCCATTTATTTGCTTACTATGCTTTTGTAGAAATTAATAATATATTTTTCAGCTTTGCCAGCAGCAAAACTTGAAGCAAAAAAATTCCTGTCCTTTTTGTCTATCCTATTTCCAATCCCATTTAGAAGTGTTGTATCCTGAGCAAGGGTCTCCAAAGAAACATTATGGTGCTTGGAGAACACTAGGGTAAACAAACACAGTTTATTAAGAGCCTGCATCTTCATCCTTGAGGGACTAAACTTGGATCATGCTGCCATACAAATGTAAAAGGTGGCAGTGTTCAGCTAGTTAGCAGCTCTCCTGCTTCTAGTTCTTCACATGTTGAAGAACTCAGATGCTCACGTTGAAAAAAAAAAAAAAAAGGTGCTTGACAGAAGTAAAACTTGGCATTAAACTTACTTTTTCCAAGTCATCCATAGCTGACTTTAACTTGCCTAATTTTCTTTGTATTGCTCCGCGCCTGCAGTAGTGAAAAGCTGAAGGATGCTCTTCCTTTTCTATTAGCTCCGTCAGTCTTCTTACTTCTTTTTCTAAATCTTCAATATTAACTGTTGTACCTTCAAGAACAGGTTGTATTGAGTCAACTAGTTCTATTTGTCGATTTGCTTCTTGAGAGCCCACCATCTCAGTTTCTTTTAGCAATTCAGTATCCTTCTCCTCAGAAGCAGTCCCACTAGGAGGGAAAGTTTCATCAAACCAGCAGTTCCATATTCCACTGACCCATATACGAGCAGAAGTTTCTTTTGGAATTCCACCCCTCACTTCTGCAAACTTTTCAAATTCTAACAAACAAGGCATGCTGGGGCTCTGATATTGTTTGATTGCTGAAGACACCTTGATACTGAATTTATCATGAATAGGAAGCCTTCCCAGAGACACAGACCTAAGGAAAAATATATTAAAATTACTAAAGGTTCCCAGGTATATTAATGACATCAAATTGCAATCTGCCAGTGAACTACTACTCAGAAACCTATTGTTAGCTCTCTGGTTAATGATAATTTTTTAACTTATCAGCCATTTATCAAAAATCATTATTGAAGCTGCAGGTAAGCAAAATTGTTCAGAATTCTTCACGTCCCCAGAACATTCAGCACTTATTTGCCATTGCATGCTTATTTCCTCCAAAAGCTTCTAACTTGGGTTTACAAAGACAATGCTAAACCTCAGAAAGTACAATATTTCGGAGTGGACAATTACCGGCCTGGCTAAATCACTAAGTCCTAGATGGATGAATAGATCAATGATAGATCCCAATTATACTACGAAGAGGCCAAGGGAATATAAGCAGAAAAACCACTTGAATTTACAAGGATATTTCCAAAATTAAAATCTAGGAAAATCCATAGCTTCCAAGATTAGAACCTTCACAGATGTTCAATAGCAACATCTGTTTTGAGATGTCAAAGTGAAAGAAATAGAAGTCTGTAACAGAAACACTTAATCGTTACTACAAACAATACAAGCCTTGCTAACACAGAAGGGAACACAGAGAAAATATTTTATACATTTCTATATTTATAATACTATGTACCTAATATATGTAATATTTTACACATAAGGATCCTACCAGAAAAAAAAGGGAAATTAAGTAAAAGAATGTAGCAGGCCCATGCATGAATGACACCATCCCCTTGGTTTAGCAAAACTGATATGAAAGCCTTAGACAGCAAAGAACATACGGTACTGCTGCCTAAAACAAGACTTTGGAAAAAGGCCACCTTCTCCCTTAGTCATAGCTCACTATACCAGGATATTACGCCATTTAAGTCTCTTTGATTTTCTTAAGAATAAAACTACTGAAAAGTGCCTAAAAGCAGAAAAAAGGAGAAGCAGCAGCTGAATGGAAAACTGGCCTGAAGGATGAGGCCTGAGCATCAGTGTAAGTACAATGCAGACATATAACTGTACACAAAAATAGACAACATCTGGGTTTTTTTGCAGTCACACTTCAAGCTTAAGTATTTAAGAAATATCAAAAAACTAGCGAGAACATTTTTTTCATTCACACTTTAGTATTTTCTAAGGTACCCCGTATCTGATGTACATAAATAATAAATGTTCACTAGAAAAATATTGAGTGATACACGAAAAAAAAAAAATAAAAAGCAAACTGCTCGTTTGATGTCATCTATGAAGTTCATGGTACAAAGGAGGTTACTCCAGCCTAGCATTTCAATTCCCTAAGAACCTAGAATTTCCCCCTTGTCTTTCAGAAGAAAAAAGTTTGACCATTTTAGTCATGCATTTATACTCAGATAAAACTTTTTCTGTTGTTGCTTGAAGCAACACAATTTCCATTTAAAGTGTAATATATACTAAGTGTTGTAAAGATACCTAAGCAGTATGTATTTTTTCTTTGCATTAAAAATATATATTGTTCCTAAATAAGTAAGCTATTATTACTTAATTTTAGAGCAATATTTAATATTTTAAAAGATAAAACCTGTAATTAGATAATAGAGCTACAAATTAAAATAAATTATTTTAAAAGGCAATACACATTAATTAAAGAAAACCTTTTAAGAATCTTTGGGGGTTGGCTTAATTTCTTAATCACAGCTTCTAATTTCCTAGGGTTTATTATTTTCTTTGATTTCTTTCTTTTCCTTCTTCTTGGGAAAACAGCGTATTTAATCCCAGCCTTTCGAGGTCGCTCCACAAGAACAATGTCATTCTCACTATCCTCTTGTCCAGTCAAAGTAGGAATTTTTTCTACTGGTACGTCTGTCTGCATTGACTGAGGATCATCACAGATTTCATTCAATAGATGCTTGGTAGGGGAGCTTTTCCCAATGTCGGTCTCAACCTCCGGCTCAGCTATCCATTGCTTCATAACCTTCAACTCTTTCATGCTGGTTTTGAAATTAGCTGATATATTTAATGTAGTTTCATCTTTGAAAGCGGTCATCTCCAGAGCTGAGACTGATCTTTTAATCAAACTTGTCTGTTAAAAAAGGAAACTTAATTTATTTAGATGTTCATTTGCAATAAGATTTATATATCACATTTCCTTGGGTTTAATGGATTGGATTTTATTTTATATAAAACTGTAAAGAGAAAAAAATAGTTACATGGGGACTACACTGTTGAAAAAAAAATTATAGTATTTAATGGGAAAAAAGATCTGCATACCTCAGGATATGTGTCTAAGTAAAGAGATCTGAAACATTAATTCAAAGTTATTTGAAGCTCATAAAGGGCTAAAACCAATCTTCTCTAAAAAGTATCACAAGAAAATTGAATTAAATACCCCCAGTCCTTGTAGGAAAGTTAAATTTTGAAATAAAAAAAAAATGTATGCCACTGGTGGTGACATTTACAAAAAGACAAACTGAGATGCCTTCATGAACTCAAGAAAATACAGGAGGACTCTCTATAATGTTTGGAAGTACAATTGTATTATATGGAAACAGAGTTAATATCCAAATAGAGTTATGCACCCTCATACTTTGTGACCCCATCCCTGAATAGCCTGCTGAAATCAAACCAAAAGAATAACTGTTATGCTCTTGCGTTTAATAGTTATTAAGCAAGTACTATTTGCAATAACAAATATATTGCTTCTTAGTCATTTTGTTAATTCCAGTTCACTAACTTGCACTATAATACTAGACGTAACACATCTTTGTCAAAGAAATTGAAATGCAATTTCATGTCCACTGCCTAAAATTTACAGAGGGAAACACTGTCATTTATCACCAAATCAAATAGTTTCACTGCAAATTGCATAAATTAACTTGTTACTTGAAAAATTCTTTTAATGAACTATGCATAGTTTTGCTAAAGGATCGCTAGCGGAATTCAACAAGACTACTTCTATTTGAACATGAAACTAGTATTTTAAAAAATAAACATCAATGCTTAGTTCAAATTGCAAATCTGGTGTTTATTTTATCATTTCATATAAACTGCTGCCATGCTTCATGTCCATCTAAAATAATGTGGTCACAACATTTTAAGCAGGTCTTTATGGACTATATAGAAGTTTTAAATACATACTCCTCAAATTCTTACTCAAAATCAAATTTGTTAATAAAATATTACTTGTATAACACTATCAAGGTCATCTTTGCACAAGTGTAATATCTGCATGGTTTATTGCTGCTTTTTATGTATTTTATGAAACAGCTAACATATCTTCAATAGCCATAAAAGTACATAGCACTTTACCATTTGGAAACTTGACAACATTGATGCCCTGATGTGTCTGAAATCCAAGGATCCAATACCACAAATCTTTACTCAGATATGTTGTTCCACTCATTTCAGGTTAGCTAGAGTACAGACTACTCACACTTATCTCTATCCAAATGCCCATAGTTAACAGAGGTTCTCATTGCAGAGCTATGTTTTCCTATTTAATGTAACCAATCCACTTGAAAAAGACCTTTGAGACTAACTTTTGCATCTAATAGGAAAATATTCAGTTCAGTTGAATTTCTTTCACAAAATCACAGTTCAGGAACAAATACAAGTAAATATAAAATAATACCTCTGAGCTCTCACTGACAGAAAAAACGGGCAAGGATTGGCATCTTCTCAGTAAACTTTTTGACTATAGATAAAACAAAAAGCAAAATAAGTCTGAATTAGTCTGAGCATAATATGAATAGAGTTTTCAGTTACATTCTGCTTTTAAAATCAGAGACTGCCAAAAATAGAGCTAATATCCAAAAAAATCTGTTTTCACCAAAAAAACAACCCCACCTTTGCCAGAGTGAAGGACTGCATTTGTCTGGATTTCTGGGTGTCTTGAGCCCATTCCACTGCTAGATGTCCAAAAATCAAAGACATATTCAACGTACTCGTATAGATTAATGCTAAAGAGCAAGCAGAGTCAGTGGACATATACTATATATATATGTGTGCTGTAGACGCTCCACTCTCAGAACACACTATGAATATTCCATACTGTTGATCACCTAGTAAATTTACTGCATGAATGGAGATGTCTTTCTAACGAATGTGTTTGAAGCCAGACACTTCTTAAAAGTGTCATATTCACTCTGCTTTAAATTACACTAGTCACACACACATTCCTATCTTGGGAATCCCAGACAAAAAAATGGCCACACAGCATCACCACAACCATAGTTTCCAATGATAATATTACTTCTTCCTGAGAATCTGTAAGTGCTTCATCTGGTTTTAATTGTTGTTGTTAATAGACATACTTGTACCATAGTAACAGTTTTCTTTTTCTGTTAGAGATTGTCGTGATTTAACCCCGGCTGGCAACTAAGCACCACGTAGCTGCTCACTCACTCCCCCCACAATGGGATGAGGGGGAGAATCAGAAGAGTAAAAGTGAGAAAACTCATGGGTTGAGATAAAGACAGTTTAATAGGTAAAGCAAAAGCCGTGCACACAAGCAAAGCAAAGCAAGGAATTCAATCATCACTTCCCATGGGCAGGCAGGTGTTCAGCCATCTCCAGGAAAGGAGGGCTCCATAACACATAATGGTTACTTGGGAAGACAGACACCATCACTCCGAATGTCCCCCTCTTTCTTCTTCTTCCCCCAGCTTATATACTGAGCATGACGTTACATGGTATGGAATAGCCCTTTGGTCAGTTTGGGTCAGCTGTCCTGGCTGTGCCCCCTCCCAGCTTCTTGTGCACCTGGCAGAGCTGAGCGCTGAGAAGTCCTTGGCGAGTCTAACCACTACCCAGCAACAACTAAAAACATCAGTGTGATCAACATTCTTCTAGTACTAAATCCAAAACACAGCACTATGCTAGCTACTATGAAGAAAATTAACTCTATCCCAGCTGAAACCAGGACAGAGATATTCCAAATAGGTCCACAAGTAAACATGGAATAAAATATAATATTGTAGTAAATGCAGACTTTATTATTTCCAGTTATACCTAATGGCCTAGTCAACCTGTAGGCAAAGGACTACCAGCACTTTTCATCCCTGCTGGACAATTCCAAATCAGTTTATAGTCACATATACAGGCATAATATCTTTCTGCCTAAAGTCAAACATGATACAAAATTCCAAAGAGTTTTTATTCAAACACAAAATAAGCTTTTTAAGTTGCTGCTGCCAGAGGATATAGATGTGCAAAGTGGATCACAGCATTCTTCTTTTTTGACATACTAAATAAGATTCTAGCCAGCTTCTGCAAGAAATGTTCAAACCAGCACACATTCCTTTATCACAGTCAAATTTACCTTTTTGTTCCATTTCCATGTCATCTACAAGTCACACACTCTTGAATTACATACTCTCAGATAGCCATAGTCACTATTAAAAAAGCTTATTTCAAGGACAAAAGCAAGCATGTCTTGCCCAGTCTGTTTCACCTTCAAATAGGGAACATTATCCAACAAATCTTAACTGCTCTAATGGTCAAAACTTGCAGATGGAGCCCTAAATTTTAATATAAAACAGTGCTTCCAAACACTAAATTATACCTGGGAGCTCAGCTGCAGCAATAATATGCTAGCCTCAGTTTGCCTATTTCTGGCTGCAAATACATGCACTCATGCATTAATTTTGCTCAGTTCCAGCTGAGGTCTCAACAACATTGCTGGCCAGTTCCAAGGCTTCAGCTGTGTTGTAGCTACTGGAACACTCAGTTGTACCTCAAATTCTGTGGTAGAGAAATATTTTCAGCTTACTTCCCATAAGATTTGCATAAGCTTCTAACACTTCCACCTCTCAGGTCTGTTAACTTGAAATAGCTAATCCTATGTAAACCACATATAGCTGAAGACCATCATTAGGGAGCTCAGGTTCTCTGTGGAGCCCATAGCTCTAATTTCTTATATTGCCTCCATGAACTAGATCAATCGTGTTTGAGATAGTGAGGATCCTCTAACTGGAAAGACCCACACTGCAGCTTAGAGCCACACTTCAATCTTTCACTTGCAAATCACCTGCACAGAATTGTTTCCTTATCCTTTTATATTACATTCAGAAAAATTCTAGATAAAAAAAATTCACACACTTGGAAACATCTCTTCCCCTATTCTGCTTCTTGACTCTTGCAGTTTTTTAGATGTCTGGGCATAGTGGAACATCCACTGAGATACGTCATATTACTCAAAACCTGTTATTTATATTACCGGCCCTCCCCTAAATCATCACCTAGTGCTATAACAATGCAAAATAAGAAGCATCTTGAAAATAGGCAATGATTCTTTCCAAGTCTCAAGTTTCAAAAAGTGAGATTTAGCATTTTCTATTAAAAAAATGAACAAATATCCAACACAAAAATGTTTCTAGAAGTGAACTATATAGAAATATTTTGTCTTATGACTAGACCTTCAAACTATGAATTGTTTTGCTAAATTTTAGTATTACATTAAAAAAAATTGTACCATAATACACACCAGGCCATAATCATAGAAATCATGATCATCTTGCTCAGCTTCTAACTCTTCTTCATGATCAGTGAAAAAGTCTTCAAATACAACATCCTCAATAGCATTGCTCTGAAATATTAATACATTTGCATATTTGAACATGTGCAATACTATTAATTTTAGTCAGCTTTATAAAATATAGTAACAGATAAATAAATAAAGCCTATAACATATTTGAGGTAAAGATTTATGATGATCAAGACCAACATTACAGAAGCCATTTACCCTAGGCTTCTAATGCAGTACGTTCTCTAATGTCATCAAGAATTACATGGTGCAAATGGAGCAGAGACCTGAGGAAACTGATTATTGCTACCTTTTTGTCTTTAGCTTTGGTAATTTATGTCAGGTCGCAGTAGGCCATATTGTAACAAGAACACTGGTCTCAATTTGGTCATAGTAAGACTACAAGATGGGGACTATGTCAGGTTTATTCCTGCTATCAATCAATCCATGCCTAAGTGTTCTTTCTCTCTTGCACAGGAGCGTGAACTGGTCATGAAATGCTAGTTTCTCTGTAACCTTTGCCATATGAAGGTGCACAGTGCTAGAAATAAGGGCATACAATAGGCATGCCCTTTTACATAAATAGCTCATCTGTTGCAATAATGTAATCCAGTGTCCAGTTCTGGGCTCCCCAGTTCAAGTAAGACGAGGAACTCCTAGAAAGAGTCCAGAGGAGAGCTACTAGGATGATAAAGGGACTGGAGCACCTCCCCTATGAGGAAAGGCTGAGAGTGTTGGACTTGTTCAGCCTGAAGAAGAGAAGACTGAGAGGGGACCTCATCAACACATACAAATATCTTAAGGGCGGAAGTCAAGAGGACGGAAGCAGTCTGTTTGCAGTGGTGTCCAGCGACAGGACTAGGGGCAATGGATGCAAACTGAAACATAAGAGGTTTCAGTTGAATATGAGGAAGAACTTATTCACTCTGAGGGTGGCAGAGCACTGGAACAGGCTTCCCAGGGAGTCTCCTTCTCTGGAGATATTCAAAGCCCGCCTGGATGAAGTCCTGTGTAGCATGCTCTAGGTGAGCCTGCTTTAGCAGGGGGGTTGGACTAGATGATCTCCTGAGGTCCCTTCCAACCCTTACGATTCTGTGATTCTGTGAATCACAGTGGAGATTTTACATTCAAAACATTTCAAAACTCAAAAACATTGGAATTTTCTAAAATGAACTTCGTTAAATACATGAAATATTGTATTACATGTTGATAGAAATCACTGCCAGCATAGCAGAAGAAAAACTGTGCAAACGTAGCTTTCAACATGAAGACATTAAGCAAGATAATGAAATAGCAAGTGGTAAGAATAATTACTACCAGAAAATTTACTATTGTAGAAAATTAAACAATGCTATTCAATACATATTATGACATATACCATGCTTACAGTATACAGAAGCGTTAATAAGATAGCAGCATAAAATACAACTATTTAACTGTAATATGTTAGAAAAATATAGGTATTTCTGCAAAAGATGGAAACACTAAAGATACATTTAAAACATTTACCTCATATGTAGGAAATAAAATCTCCTTTAATGAAGAAATTGGAGCAGAGAACTTTGGTGGAGCTGGAGCCCAAAACATTTTTAAAGCTTCTGGATAAATGGAAACCTTCAAAACCAATACAATTCAGTTATTAACTAACATAAACCCAGTTTAGAAATGTCTAACTGAACCTGAACTATTAGGTAATAAAACGTTGTTTTCTGCTAAACATGATTTTGTCAAGAACAACCCCACCAAATATAATGAAATCCTGAGAGGTATAGGGCTCCACAGCCTGAACAACCTATCTGGTTTGCTCTTTTTAGTGTTTTTGTTTGTTCTTAATCAGAATATTAGCATATTTTATTACTTCAGAGAAGGAATTGAGCACTGAGACATGAGGTTTCAGAACAACACTCCCCATTGGTGAAAACCTCCATATACATTTTTAAATTGCATATTGTCAAATGTTGAAAAATCAGCAGAACTTTATTTCCAAGGTATTCTGTTCTTTTGTTGCATGACACAAAAACCCCTTTTTCTCCCTGGATTTTGTGTCTTCATTTGTAGGATTGTGCACATGCATCACACATTTATTAAAATTATTTCTTACTTTCTCGCCTAACAGTTGCAGTTGTGGCTTTTTAAGACCACGTTCAGCTACTTTTTGGCATTCAGTTAGACTTTTAGATGTATGACGGTGAAGAAAGTGAATCCCATCTGTCTGATTATTCTGGAATTGCTCTGAAATAGGAACTCCACCATAACAAATTCTGCAGCAACATAAAAAATGAATAAATTACTCTGATTATGTCAGGTATTAACAATACAGAAATAGCTTGGTTGTTAGAGACAAAGAAAATTAGGTAAAATTTAAATCAAATTAGAAAATTTACTAATAAAACTCTCTTTTTTCTAAATTAAAGATTGAAATTACTTGATATACAATCGAAACCTGGTGCCAAACTTGTAGTTTTTGTAGTCACCTACCAATAATTTTAAGCAGACTTTCATGATCAGACCCATGGTGTATATTATAGAAGTCACAAGATAAATATAATACTAAGCTCTAAAGTAGTATGAAATGCCTAACGTGTAGCTTCATGCATGACAAATACACCACTCAAATGCTGTGCTTACAGTCAGATATACCTAAATGCCAAAGAGAACTGATTTCAGCTGGAATGTCTGGCTGGTTTTGAACAGCACCTTATGTGATTATACTTGGGGATTGGATTCTGATTATTTTTTTGCTTTTTTTTTTTAAATAAATCTACCTATGGCAAACACCTAGCAAAAGGAATTTTTCACTTTAGAAAGTTGTAGTTGGATGTAATTATACACCCCAATTTCCTACTTATCTACAGTTTCAATTTCCAAAAACAGCAAAGACTTCTACACAATACAGTAACTCATAAGTATGTTTATATATGCATATATATACTAAAAAAATACTGTAATAACTATTCTACCTCTATTTACTTTGCTCCTGGCACCTCTAAAGGGAAATTCAAATTTGCAGGCTCTATTATTACTACCAATAGATAAAACTATTTTAGAGATTAATAGCAACAACTATTAGCACTTATCACTTAAACATATATTTTACAGGAATTGTATAGAAAATTACAAGGAATATGTTTATATAGAGAATTTACATTTACATTTTTTGCTATTCTTGTAGCTTGTTTTATAGTACAATAATTACTTAAGTTCTCACATACAGTTCTTGCAGTACTAACAATTACAAGCACAGAATGCACTAAATGGTGAAGTATGTAAAATATATACAAAAGAACAAGAAGAAACACTTTATTTCATACATTCAGGTATCCATATATGTATGTAAATTAAAATGCACATTACATGGAACACTTGACTCAACACATTGGCACATGCCAACACTGACATCTACTGGTGTTAGTCAGGTTTGGGGTAGTTTTTCTGCAAATACTAAATTAATAATGAAGTTTATTGTGCATTCACAGAACTAAAGCATGTAACCTCTGTTATTTGCAATTTCACTGTCAGACCTATATCTGCTATAGTGGCTTGAATCTCATTTATGCCAAATACAGTGTATTTCCATTTTAAGACCTATTTAAATTATAAGAATACTGTGTAAACAGGGTGGTCTCAATATAACTGAGAACCAGCCATTTGATTTAGCACAAAATGCCTTCTGAAGTACTTTTGGATGTTAAAAGGAATCCTTAAAATGTAGCACTAGCCCAGAAGTTGTACTTCTTAAACAGAGAGAAGGATTATAGATCTGGGAGTAGTTCTTGAACTCTTTCTGGAATGTTCCTTTCTTCAAGTGGAAGCTTTGACAAAAGACCTATTTCTTAAAGAGAAAGAAAAAAACGCACAAGATCTGAAAACCTAACTTTTGACAAGTGTTTGGCCTTCCTAGTTTTCCTTTACATCTAAGTATTTGGTGGTTTTGACTTTTCTAGGTGGGTGTCTGCATAAAAGGAATGTCAAGTGAAGTTATACAAGATACAAAAAGGAATAAAACAATCAAAATATTCCTTAGCATTTGGTGGTTAAAAGTGTTCTGAATGAACACCATAAAAAGAGCTGTCTCTCTTTTAAGGCACTTTTGTCATAAATAGTTTTCAATTCAAGGAGATTATATTAAGTAATCAACTGTGAGTTAATGTGAAACAATATTCAGACTTTTCATTTCTGGAAGAGAGAAGCACCATGGAGGAAAGTTCCAAGTAATAATAATACTGATCTAATAATATTCTGTTTCCATCTGCTGGTAAAAAAAACCTGTAAAATC